CACAAGGGGAGAAGAGATAAAGCAAAAACAACACACGCTGACAACACACAAAGGGGAACAAAGAGGGAAAACACAACACAAAACAAACTAAGAGCACCGCCGGTGTAATCGTTTGATTCAGCCTCCTGCTGAGATCATCTATTTCGTTGTACTGTCACATGGTTTTGTCCTTACGTAACAGACTGTCTGGTGTTGTTGGATCTTTAGAATCTAATAACATGTGAGGTGTTGAGAAGATGATTGTCCTAACAACATGAAGCGACATTCTTGATAAGGTTCTCATGAGTGCTTGGGAGAGATTCCCTTCCTATTTTTGAAGTCCCACAATCTGTGAATGTTATTGCCCATTGTTGGCATTTTTCGTTTATTGTACATGGGTTATTTAGGGGCTTAGGTAGTACAGTAGCAGGTAGTTGTGGTATACCAATTTCTTTTATTTTCACTCGTCAGTCTGCTTGTCTCTAGGTGCTAAAGGAGAGGATTGAGCGAGTCAAAGCTAAGAAGAATGGTGCTTTTACATCCAAAACTGAGTTCACTGAAGAAATGTTAGAGATACGTAGAGATTTCGTGCTTATCCACGGCGAAATGATACTTCTGCAGACCTACAGCTCCCTGAATTTTGCTGGTGAGCACATGAAACCAAGTTAGCCAACCTTCAGTGTCCTACCAACAATAAGCTTTCTAGCTAACATCATGACACTTGGTGCATACAGGGCTAGTGAAGATACTGAAGAAGTATGACAAAAGAACAGGCGGCGTGCTCAGCCTACCTTTCACTCAGCGAGCTCGCCACCAACCATTTTTCACCACGGGACCGTTAACAAGACTTGTTCGAGAATGTGAGGCTAATCTTGAAATCCTTTTCCCTGTTGAAGATGAAGTACTCGAGTCTGGTTCCTCTTCAAAGCATCAGGCTCACAATGATGCGGCTAGTCGTGACCCAGCTTCATCTTGCGACGCAGAAACCTCAGAGGTGTACCGAAGCACACTCGCAGCAATGAAAGCGATAGAGGGCCTCAAGAAAGCCAGCTCTACCTACAATGCCCTGTCTCTGGCTAGGTTCTTCCATGGAGAGGATGGCGAAGCATGTTCTGGCGCCATAACATCTGAGAGCTCGTTATCAGATTCCATGACAGATTCCCAGGTAGAAGATGCTGACAAGAACGACAAAGAGGTGCAATCAAAGGAGCAGAGCGCTGCTCAAACTGACCATAACGCGGAAGCGGAGCGACGCGGTGGATAATAATCAGTCTTTGCATGCCATTTTGAATCTCCCATGATAAGTGTAAATGATAGAACTGCTATAACACCAATAATCTGGATGTTTAGCCAGTCTTTGAAATGTGTGACCATAAGTCATGTTTTTATTTGGATGCTTGGAGTTTTGGAGCTGTAGGAAGAAAGTGTGTGTGACATTTAGCTGATTTGATTTGAAAGGAATTGTATACAGTCTCTGTTTCTCAAGGTTTTTGTATTAGCCACTGATGTTCGCCTTCAGCAAACCACTAATACGGTGACTTTTTTTTAAAGTTGGCTCGTACAGTGAATTTGATTATGCAATTTATGTACAAAACATTCTAGTGGGGCCCAGACTCATAGAAGTAGTAAAATGCAAAGGTAGTAACTTAAAGCTCAACAGTAAATAAAAAAGGAGACTATCCTTGTGGGAATAATTCAGATGCCAAAAGCAACCATTTAAGGGATAATGATTTGTTGCTTCCAACAGAAAAATAACAACATGGAACGTTGCATCTACAGATTCAGTTGCAATGCTAATATACTGAACATAATAGCAACTTGCATACAAGTAGCAGGATCAATAGCCAGTACGATTCACAAGAAAACATCTCAGACTTTCCTCCTGTCGGCACCAACGCCGGTCCGCCCCATCTCCAATGGCCATTAGGCCATGGAGATGTGAAGGACCTCGGGCCCTAGCCGGCAAGAAGGCCCCTGTTCTTTCTAGGTCCAGCGTCTTGGTTGGGATGTGTGGCAGCGGTGATGTCCATCGGTAGGAAAAATGTCTCACATGTTCTATCTATGTCCTGATAGTGCGTCTAGTATCGTCGGAGGGCGTGTGGAGGTGTGTCTTCGTAGGATCTCATGGGATTCGATCGGTGCTGGTCTTCAGTGGATTTGTTTAGATCCGATCTTCGTACGTCTTTGTTTGGGTGTTTACAGGTTTGATCCTTCTGTTCTACGACTTTCTTCATCGGTGATGGTTGCTGCACTAGTGCATTGGTCTTACAGGGCCTTAGTATGACAACTTCCTGACTGTTTACTACAATAAGATTTGCTCCGATGAGGGAGAGGCGATGACGGCGGCACGCCTTCGGCTCGCGCCTAGTTGTAATTTTTATTGCCTCTAGTGTTCTTTGTATTGCCATGTTTGAAGATGAATATATTGAAAGTTTCTTACGCAAAAAAAGTTGCATACAAGTAATATAAATTGACTTGTCCATAACAAGTTTATGCGACTAATTAAGCACTCCACAGTTACCTAATAGAATACCGAAGGATTCATAGCACAACACCCGCGTGTTTAGATCAAAAATTTCAGAACACAAGATAAAGCGTCTCAGTTAACACCATATCACTGTAGATCATCACATAGACCAAATAAACTCACGCCCGAGGGTTGGTGCTCGACGCAAACACAAGCACCGGTGTCATCCTCCCACCGTGTAAAGATGGTGTGGCCCTCCACGTGTCTAGAGTTGTGCTCTTACTCCTCGGAGACGAGAAACTGGCGCACGATGGTATTGGGGTTCATTGGGCTTAGCGATGTGCCCTGGACTACCGTGGAAATCTTCTTCCTTTCCTAGGCACATGGGCTCGGCGTCGTGCCCTGGACCACTATGGAAGTCTCCTTCTCTCACAAGGGCCACCTGTGGTGGTTTGACATCTCTAAGGCATTCTATACATCGTCTTTTTCGGTGACTCGGCAATCAATTCCCAAGTGCACATCCCTAAAGATGCCTAGCGGCCTCAGAGGCTTGGCCGTCGCATTAAGGCAAAGATTTATGGTGAAGAAGACAAATGCATGAATTAGTTTTAAGCTCCACCATTTAAGCAAATTTTGAGCTTGCTAGTCAAAATAAATACAATTATCTATACTTTTTATATATATTTTTGTCAAATTAAAATCAAAGGTAATATATTATTGTAAACGTAAATTGTATTTTATAGTAAAACTATATTTTCTCAATATATTGAGCCCTAAAAGCATATTTATAAAATCGAGACGATAAAAAACAATAGAATTGCATGTTTTCTCAAAATAACTTGTGACATTTACATGAATATAGTGTATATGTTTATATGTGTATAATTAATATCTTAGTAGAAATATCTAAAGTATATCATATAATACAATATCTTGATATTGTTTTTTATAATTAGATATATGCAAATATAAAAATCTAGAATAACGTAGGATGTTTTGGGGGAGGTAGTCATCTAATAACCGGCAATTTTTGGGGGGTCAAAGTCTTACATATTACATTGGTCAATCAATCTGTTAAAGATGTGTGTTTGCTCTGTATTTGGCACTGAAATAGCACCACTCTAGATAAGATACTAGAGCTTGCTTGGTCGATACTTACATACATCCTCCGCCCGGAATTACTTGTCGTATAAATGAATGTATCCTGACGTATTTTAGTCCTAAATATATCCATTTGCATTTATTTATGTGACAAGTAATTGGGACTGATGGAGTATGAGATTTCATGCTTATGCGCATTAAAATGATACTTCTGCAAACCTACATCTCCATTAATTTTGCTGGTGAGCACATGAAACCAAGTTAGCCAACCTTTCCTATTACTCTGATCCATATTACTTGCCTAGATACATCCGCTTTAACGAAAAATAATATGGATTGGAGGGCGTAGCAATAGTATATTTTGCGACCAATTTGCTAAAACTTGGTGCATACATGACTAGTGAAGACACCAAAGAAATATGACAAAATAATAGGCAGCGTGCCCATACCTTCCACTCGGCGAGCTCGTCACAGCCCATTTTCACCACTGAACCGTTAACAAGAGTTCGAGAATATGAGGCTAATCTTAAACTCCTTTTCCCCGTTGAAGAAGTACTTGAGTCCGGTTCTTCTTCAAATCACCAGGCTCACAATGATGTGGCTAATCGTGACCCAACGTCCTCATGCGACACAAAGAGCTCAGATGTGTACCGAGGATAATGATGCGCCCTATCCCTAGGCGTCCCATATCACTAGTGCAGAACCGGGCTATAGCCCCGGTTCGTAAGGAGTTTTAGTGCCGATTCTGTAACCGGCACTAAAAGGTGGGGACTAAAGGTTCCCCTTTAGTACCGGTTCGGCTCAAACCGCAGCTAAAGGGCCACCACGTGGCACGAGTCAGGGCCGGGTGTGGGGAGAGCTTTAGTACCAGTTGGTGTTACCTCAGATTTGAGCTGGATATGAGGAATGCGGTTGACGCGGGCGTTTGAAGCCCGTTTAAGGCGTCCGTCTGGGTTGAATTTTTAAGACCGGTCACTGATCAGACCGTCCGCCCGAACGTATGAGACGGGTTTGGACCACCGGCTGTAGGTGCTCTTCTTATATTATGGGACGTACAAAATTTGAACCCACGTGCCAGGACGTCCCACTTACATAACCCGACCCTTTGCCGACTCTCATTTTCCTTGTCTACGATCGCTCAACTCGACACCTTTGTCGCTCGCATCGCTCACCCAATCCCCTTTCTTTTATCCTCCGACATTCCATGCATCACCGTGTGATCTTGCTCTCCAGCTTGTGCCCTCACCCTAATTGTCTCCTGGTGAGCCAAGTCAAGCAAATAATGCAGCCGTGTAACCTTTGGTTAGGGCTAAGAGTCACGTCGCCTATGCCTCGGGCCTCTTCGTCAACGCATCCATCAACAAATTCAACATGCATATGCATATGGAAATCCGTTGAGCTTTTTGGTTGCACTCCGTTGCAAATTTGCAACAGCTTTTTCTTTTACTTCGGAGAACAACATTTGCAATAGCTATTTAGGCGACTAACTACAGCTGTAAATAAACTAAAAATAAGGCTGATCAACGGTTGCACCATGTGAACTCAGCCGAAATGCCCTCCCTCGTACGTAGAATTAGCTCAGTTAATTAGGGCATGTACAATGGTTGATAAAACAGTCTTATCTTAAGTCTTGCATGTAATTTAGAAATGACAAAAGAGTATGTCTACAATGGGTTATATCTTAACCTTATCTTCAATAACTAGTCATTTCTTAAAACATGGTGAGATAAATTGTGCTAAGAGATCATCTCTTGTCTTATCTTAAATAAAAGAAGACAAGCCTTTTCTTCAGAGTTTTCTCTCCTTCACCTCATCATTTATCTTACGTGGCACTCCTAAGATAGCACCATTGTACATGCCCTCACTCCTGCCGCTGCTTGATTTGCAATCGCCGCATCTCACTCTTCCGGCCGGACCCTTTGGAGACCCTCAAGAGGATCTGACCTTCCACCACCTAATAAATTAATTAATTAGCTTATTAATCAGATGGTTGCCTTCCCCGGCTCCTCGACCCCAACAAGGATGGGATCATGGCAGCTCCAGCTCATGGTCAACGATCTCCAACTGCCTATATATACACGCCAAACCCATCCGTACTCCTCCATCTCTTCCAGCCCCATCCAGCAAACCGCCGCAACCTTCTCCGACCAAGCAGCAGCTCCGAGTTCGATCGAGCCCAAGTTCGACGGCGATGGCACGGTCGGAGCTGGTCATGGCGTTGCTGGTGGCGGTCCTCGCCGCCGGCTGCTGCGCGTCGGCCGGCGCCGTGGCGTACCTCTCCAAGCTGTCCGTGACCCTCGACGTCACCGCATCCCCCAGCCCCGGCCAAGGTACCACCGTCGTATGTGCAATGCATTCTCGTTAACAGACATAGAGCGTAAGCAAGCATCTTCTTTAACACTGACGACCAAATCAAACGCGACCAGTTCTCCACGCCGGCGAGGACGTGATCACGGTGACGTGGGCTCTGAACGCGACCCGGCCGGCCGGCGACGCCGCCGCCTACAAGAGCGTCAAGGTCAGCCTCTGCTACGCGCCGGCGAGCCAGAAGGAGCGCGAGTGGCGCAAGACCCACGACGACCTCAAGAAGGACAAGACCTGCCAGTTCAAGGTCGCCCAGCAGCCCTACGCCGGCGCCGGCGGCAGGGTCGAGTACCGCGTCGCCCTCGACATCCCCACCGCCGCCTACTACGTGC